CAACCCCCCCCCCCCCTTCACTCCCCTCTTTGCCATTGCCAATGAGTACATACTTTCTCTCCCACTGAAAAAGGCAAAAGTAATCTGCTCAGCCTTACAAAAGCTCTGAAAATATATTCCTTTGTTTGCTTTGGTACACCTCAGCACTCAGCACATGTCCATGCTATCAGCAGAAGCTACTTCTCAGACCCGCAGCAGCTGCCTTGCCTATAAAGACTCCACATTGGCCATTAAACTAGGATAAAAGTAAGTATTTCATTTGTATCATGGTAGCTTTAGTTTTTTTCTTTTTCTTTAGTATTTTGTTTTTTAGATGAATTACACCCATAATTCAACCAAAAACAAGCCAAAATAGTGGAGATGGCGGCCGCAGGAATGACCAAGGCCTTGATTGCAAATTTCCTTGGAATGGTGAGATCCACAGTTTCCTCAATAATTTCTCAAGAGGCAACCTGAGGCACCGTTTCCAAAGCTATCTGGATAACCTTGCAAGACCAATGAGAGGGACCTTCGTCACCTCCAATCCGTTATTTAGGCACGTAATTGAATGAAGATTGTGGAAGCCAAGGACCAGCTCCCCACAATCATATTGAATCAGACTACTTGCCGCCAAGCCCACAATCTTGGTGTTAATAACTGGGTTGCAGTCAAAAAAAAACTGTTTCTCAATGTTTCTCACTGGGACTGACAACTCCAGTTTGCCAAGGAACTGGCAACTGGAGGAAGTTCCTTTGGACCAATGAGTCCTCCAGTTCAAAGGTTTGGTGTGATGTTAAAAAGTGGCCAAATTTTGATGATGGTCTGGGGGTCCTTTTATAGCAATTTAGAAGGCCCACCTGGTCAAAGAAAAGCAACCGACTTTATTGAAACTGTTTACAAGAAGGCTCTTCTGCCATTCCTCAACAAAGTGGCTCCTCTCCATCAATTGTCATTGATGGAGGACAATGCCCCAACCCATGCAGGAAAAGCTAGTTGTGCCCTCCTAGCCAAGAACTCCATCAAGAAAATGATTTGGCCAGCTCAATAACTGGATCTGAAACCAATTGAGAACAGTTCCTCCTCGAGGGCAACAGCCAGGAACTCTATCAGCCCTGGACCGTACCAGAAACTCACAAAGCCCTCATCCAAGCCTGGGACAACTTTCCAGCCTCAAACTCAGATCACCTGGTTGAATCAATGCCTCACTGCATTTCAGCTGTCATAAAAACCACAGGAGGGCCAACTGGATGGTAATCTTTCACTCTCAACAAAATAAATAAATTTATCTTTTTTAACTTTTTCTCTTATAATCACTCTTGCCCACTTTCAAATAGTGCTTCTCTTTTTCTCTCAAGACAAAAAAAAAAATACTCAAAACTGTCAAAAAGTGACCTCGGTGGGGTTCGAACCCACGGCATACTGCGATTTGCGTAACATGTAAAGCAGGCATTCTACCACTGAATTACGAAGCCGGGACGTTCGGGAATGTTGGAAACAGGATTTGTTGCCCCCAAAGTTGAAGCTCAAGGGGTTTCAGACTGCATGAGCGGTCTCGATTATCAGCCGACAACGACGGCGAACTCAGCCAGAGAAATACATAGCAGAACACAACCAAGCCACGACATCCAGCACAAGCACGAAAGCAGCCACGGCCGGGATCGGAAACGAAATTGCAGAACTTGGGAGGACGGAGTATGGGCGTCAGGAGGCTGCAGCGGACTCAGATGATGGTGCGGGGAGGGGCGGTGGTGCTGGCCGTGATGCTCGCCTTTCTGGTGCACTCGGGCGGGTGCCAATTCGGCAACATATTCGAGGCGAGTCTCTCTCTCTCTCCAGATCTCTCTCGAAGAGAGGAGAGCCTACCTTCACCTTTCGAACACCCCCCATCTGACTCTCAGTCCCTCCTCTCTCACTGCATCACGTTCCTCGCTTTCGTACAGCAATTCTTCCAGCAGGACGACCCCGGTAACCATCCGAACTCTTCCCCCCAAGGCGGCCCCGACAAGTTCGTCCTGCTCAGAGACCAGTCCCGTTGTGCCCAATACCTCTGTCCCTCGTCCGTCCCCACATTCCCTTCTTCTCCTCCTCGGAAAAAACTTACGCACTGATCTTCAATATCTGGGTTGACTCACAGCACCTTCGATTGCGTCGCTGCCCCTGCCGACTGTCCTTGTCCCTTCGTCGAAGATATCAAGTGTCCCTTCTCTCCTCCCCCATCTGCCTCGGCCTCCCTCTCTTCTCTCCCAAAATCCTCGCCCTCCTACGTTTGTACTAGAGCTCCTGGCTGCGAAAATGTACAGAGAGCCCTCTCCTTTGGCTCATAAAATCGTCACATTTTCTTTTGCTATTGAATAAAACACAAACGGCCCACCTTACATCTTGATCTCATCAAAAAAATAACAATAAAATAAAATAAAATAAATGTTTCTTCCTTATTTTTTCGACCAAGCAGTGATCTTTTCTACTTCAATTTGTACATGTATCTATCGCACCGCAAGACAACAGACATGAGGCCTGAATTAGGCTGACCAGTTTCGTTTACAATGCAATCCTCTCGATTAAACTCGCATGCTGCTAATGGCTTTGGTGATTCCAGCAGCGCTACCGCCATTGAAGTCCCAGATGACAAGTTTACCGTCGACACCAGAGGTACTGAGATGAGAGATCCTTCCAGCCTCGCCGGCAAAGTTACGAATACTGGTGATAGTGTTAGAGTGGACGGTGTCGACGCCAGCCCGGTTCCCAGAAGTAGCCACACCCTCGGCGGGTGACATGACGCCGCGAGAGTCGGCGGAGCGGAAAAGATTGAAGGCTTCGTTGTTGAGCCGTCCAATCCCGCCAACGGATTGGCGTGGCGACTGGGCCGAGCTGGAGGCCTTACCCTCGTCAAGGGTCTTGACGAGCTGCCAGCCGCCCTCACACGAGCCTTGGAAGACCATGGGTTGACAATCGTGACCCGCGGCTACGAAGCTGTGCTCGGTGCAGAAGCTGAGCGAGATGAAGGGTAGACTGGGGAGCTTGATCACATGAATGGCATGAGGTAGCGAGTCGGGTCCGCTGGGATAGACGACGGTGACGGCCGAGTCGTGCGAGACGAAAGCCAGAGTGTCGCCGCTGGGGGAGAAGCAGACATCATGGACCCAGCCACCAGAAGGGGCGGAAAAGTCTCCACATATGGTATTGAAGGGGATACGCTCACCCCAGACGGTGGGGGAGGGCTTGGAGTCGACGCCCTTGATGTAAGCGCTGAGGACGCGACAGGTGGCGTCGGCCGAGCCGGCAGCAAGCAGGACCGAGTTGGGGTGCCATGCGAGACTTAGGACAGTAGATCGGAGGGGTTTCTTGAGGTGCTTGGCGACCCACCAGTTCGACTCATCGTCGTACTGGCACACCGCGATCGCGCGTGCCCCCGAACCCACGGCAAACTTGGCCTCGTCCGGCGACCATCGCACAAATGTCGCCGATCGGTTCAATCGCAGCAGCACCAGCGTCGGCTGCCAGGTGGGTGGCTTGCTTGGATCGGCTGGGTCCGGACCATATTGCCAAACGTACGCATTTCGATCCTGTGAGGCTGTCACGATCTGGTTTCGTCGCGGGGCCCAATCGATGGAGGTGACCACTTTATCGTGCTGTGTTCTCAGAAAGAGATTAGTTAAATCAAATATTTTTCAGCTGCCTGTTGCATAGTTGAGAGAGAAACGTACGTCTGAAAGAGTGTGAGTAGATTTCCAGGATGAAGATGTGTTTTTCTGGTAGATCTTGACCTCGTTTGAGTTTTCGCATACGGCCAGTTGAGTGCGGTCGAGATTGAATGCATGTGCGGTGATGGGGTCAGTTGCAAGCTGGTTGATTTCGAGTGCCATTGAATTGTGTTGGTGATGATGAAGGGAGGACTCTAGCAGTCGACAACCCTCAAAACTTGTTGTGGATGATGTGGAAAAATTACTGATGAACTTTCATTATTACATCCACGTCTTATAATAGACACTTCAGCTTTGGAGCTTGCACACTCAACGACACCACTGAGAATACAACCAGGATTCAGATATAAAATATAAATAAATCAGAAGAGAAAAATAATCAGTTCCAGACTAAGAAGTGATAATTTAATAACAAGAAAATAAAGAGATAGGGAAATATACTGAAAGGGTGCTTGGTACAAGCATTGCCTACAGGAACTATAAGCATAACATGCACTGGTACAGTGGATGAAAATGAGGATGCTGGAACAGCAGACAGGGAGATGCACTGGAACAGTGATGACAGCTTAGGATTAAGAATGAAATCTGCTGGAACAACAGTGAAAACATGAATATGAAAAACTGGTACAACCATTAAGAAATAAAAATAAGAAATGTGAGCAGAGTTCTGACAGTGTCTATCTATCTATCTACATAGGCAGAGTGTGGGTATCAAGGGTCAAGACATGGTTCAAGAATCACTCAAGGCAGAATCTCAATTTCCAGGTTGCAGTCAGCAAGGGGCAGTGAAAAGGAGTGTTTATTGTTAGAGTTAAGGTGCATACTTGCTGTGTTATCCAAGTTTTCCACAGTGAAACCAAAGAGTACCCAACACAACCGGAGAAAGGCTTTCAGTTTACAAGCTGTAAAGTTTTTCTTTCCCCAGTGGAGAACCTTCCTTTCAAGATGTGGGAACAGTTCCATTGGAGGATCTACGTAAATCAATTCAACAACAATACAGCTGTGGACAAAGGTGCAGGTGATATCAAAAAGCATGCATTTTCCAGTTGAATTTGGCTGACATAATAAGGATCAGTTGGAGAGTTGAAAGCTGAGGAGCAGTAGGGGAAAAGTGGATTTTACACTGATTCTGAGGGGTTGTTTGAAGCTGAGGACTACAAGTTATGTTTTTAACTACTGAGCTTGGATTCAAGGATGAGTAAGGTTAAGATGGGGGGCAGGGACACTCAGAAGAGAGGCACTGGACTGGCTCCGGATGGTACGGAAAAAGAAGGAGAAGAACCAATGATAAAATTGCTTGTATCTAGACTGATTAAATAGGCTAAATACAAGCAGGTTAAGTTGTGGTTTTGAAAGCAATATAAAAAGAATATTCAATATCAATCAGGAAGAGTGTGGAAAAAGAAAACAAACCAGATATAGAACTTGAGTCAATGAAAAATGACTACTACTCAGGGTTCTTAGACTACAAGGTGTGTCAAGTCATCAAAAAACAAGCTACTTTCATGGTATTGAATCAGTCCACAACAATCTAATATGATTTAGAATTTTAAGAAAATATAATGTATATAGTAATGATAAAAAGTGGAGGGATTCAGGAATGAGGAGAAGAGAAGAAATTCCAACAATTTATTTCCAGTGAATACCCAGTAGCCAAATTTAGTATAAGTAGTCATTTTCTACTCATAAAATCAGACAACTTCATCTATTGAAACTTCTGAAGGATATCAAGCCTCTACCATCACTTCAATCCAAGAACCCAGCACCTGGAATCTATTATCAGCGGAATTTAAAAATAATCTACACACTCATGAGAGAAAAAAAGTATGAGTACATTTATAAAAGTACTCAAAAGCAAATTAATCACTTATGAAACCATGTCTCCTGCCACCTTAGAGAAGGACGGGCTGGGTCCAAATCCCAGACTTATGGAGTTCCTCGATTAAGCTCACAGTTCTCACCTACCTATTCATTTTAAAAGGTTCTCCTAAGTTTCTATATCACATTATCCCTAGTTCTCCAAGGAAATCCAACAAGTTTTAAACTTAATCCGGCAATTCCTGCCATAATAGAAATTTACTACATGAAACTCCTCTTCATTCACTTCAAAGACCCTTTACATCAATTAAATACAATAAAAGCTTTGCACTGCCTCTCACATATCATTCTCAATCCTTTTTGTTGAAACTCTTCACCCTGTTTCTTACCATTTTTTCTTTTTCTGTCAAAGCATTCATACCTCGTCCCTTTAGGTACGAGCGAAATTTGTTCTTATTCAAGATATCTTCAAGAAGGTAAGGCTAGAGTAATTCACACAGGGTTCCGTTGAATCCTCATTGAAATGGACTGAAGAACGGGTGGTTTTCTCCAAATAATACTAAAGAATAAAGGGAAAATTGAAAGGGAAAAAAGCAAACGTCTGTAGCAGAGTCAAGAGGAGCGCAGAAATATTTTAATATTGTGTGTTCGACAATGGTTAGTACATTTTGTTTTTCTTCTACATCTTTTTTTCCCGTTTTGCTTGATTGCGACGAGCATTGTAATTCAGGCTTTTACTAGCATCGTTCTTCCATCGTAACGGCTTCACCGCCTCCTGGACCGAGAGGTTCCTCAGCGCTAGCCATTCACGGTGGACTGCACCGACGTGTCTCCCAAGATCGTGGCGACGACTGAATGCTTTAGAACATCCGTCTGCCGGACAAGAAAATGGCCTCATACCCGCGTGAGTTGCGATGTGAGTTTGAAGGTTGAAAGCTCTGGCGAATCTTTGC